AGACCCCCCCCCCCCCCAAACATATACGTACTTATGAATAAACAAATCTTAGCTTATGGAATTTGAAATTAATTGTACCAGTAATAACATGTTTTAAACATTTAACCCTATTTTTTAAAATAAAATTTTTACAAAAGGTAAATAATACACCTACAGTGTTCATAAATAGACAGAGGAAATTCTGGTAGGTCACACAACCAGACTTATACATCAGATCTATATTTTTGCAATTATTGGTCTGAAGACTGAAGTATCTTAAAACTTGTGATTTAAAAAAAGCATTTAAGCAGTTAAGAGTCATAAATTTATATTTTTGTGGGTCTATTGCTAATTTTTCAACATTACAAAAGTACATGATAAGTAACAATATACGTGCTATGTTTTAAGTCGCAATACCAAAGCGATTTGAAAGACATGGTTATCTGTAGAACTATTAAAGCATGAATTAATTGATATTTAAAATTTCATTTGTAATTATCGTGAAGTGTGAAAAAGAATGGCTTGTCTCTTTTTATGCATGTGTCCAGCGAGGTCTAGAAGATAATTGATTTTGCAAACCAAACAATGGACCCTAATTAGAGTAAATTAACAGTTTAGCAACAGAAACTGAAAAACGGTACATAATTTAGAGGTTCATTTGATTTTATAAATTTATATATTTTTCGTATTGACGACGATGATATTACTTTGGCGCTAATATTTTAACTGTGGCGGAACTATGGCGCTAATTTTTTAACTATGGAGCTACAGAATTTAACTGTGGCGGGGTCGCCACGTTAAACGGTCCATGGAGAACCCTGCAGCCATAATCTATAAACAGATGAGGAAAAAAGGCAATGTTCTAGATATATGTATAATAACTAGTGCAGCTTCCCAATTTTTTTCTTACAGTAGTTTTCTTTTTCAAGACTATTTTAATTGTATAAAAATATCCTTGACGTCTATCTGCTCTTAAAGGAGTCGACTGTTTTTTTTTGTGTGTGAAATAACTATTAAAAATCTTTACTTTAATACCAAATGTAGCAAATATTGACTTCAGTGTACATGCAAAATTTCAGGAAAATCACTAATAAAATAGTATGAGGTCCATCTACCTATCACCTGAAATTGTTAAAAATCACTTCTTGGTGCAGTATAATTTTTTACTCAATATAAAACGGGAAAAAATACGGAATACTATTAGATAAATTTTGTTTAGAGTTTCTCTCTCAGTCCAGGAAAACGAAATATACCTTTATGTTTGGAAGAAAATGTTGTTTTTCATTGTTTTTGTATTCGTTAAAAATAAGAAAGATAATCATGTTATTATTAATATCAATGTATATCTATGATATCTAATCCAGAGAGCCCTAGGCACACCTGGTGCGGATTATAAGGGGGTCTCTGAGGAGACTTTACCCCGAATTTTTTAAATGTAAAAGACCGAATAAAAGAGTTAAAAAACACTTAGTCAAAGATAAAAAAATCTGTTCTCATGAAATATGAAGATAACAAACAGTTATCAAGCTCAAAAGTCCAAAAGAACAATTCAGATTGGGAGCAGAGCAAACACGACCTTCAAAATCAAAACTCTCTGATGAGATTGTGGCTCTACTGGTTTGTACTTAAAACGAAGAAAGAGAAAAGTAGCACTTGGACTTGAAACTATGAAACACCAATAAATAGAATAATGATCCTTGATACAGACTCTGTGGTATCTTTTATTTCGAGTTCAATTGAACGTAGGAATAAAAATGAATATTGTTAATATAATATAATAATTTTGAAAATGACTGATGACAAGTTAAGTAAATTTACGAGTTTCATTTTTATTGAAAAAAAAAACCCAGCTGTCTTCAATGTCAAAAACCTTGAACTAGAATCAATCATTGGGAATGAATAAATAAAGTGTCGAAAAGTCGTTAGTTTTGATTTTATTTATTATTCTAAAATTTTGTCATTTCAATTATTCTAAAAGTTCTTTAGCATTGAAGTAAAGATGCTTGAGTTTTCAATTATACAATCTGATTTACAACCCTTCTTGAATATATTCTTGTAAAGTAATCCTTACGTTTCTCCTTCACAGCTTTTAACATTTAAGTAAGGAGTAAAGAAGGTAATTTATTAATTTTGTTAAATTTGATAAATTTTGTAAAAATGATTGCTTTAAAGGTGTGAATAAACTGTATTTCACTATATTGCACGAAGCAATGCGCAACGGAAATCTCAGTCGGCCCCTTTAAATTAAAAAAAACTTCTCAGTGTGAAATATTCTGACCACTGATTGTATACCTAAGTAGTGGACTGCCACCATAATTCGTACTTTTGGTTTTGCTTGAAGGGCGAAAGAACCAATATGAAATATGAAGATAACGAACAGAATTCAATCTCGAAAGTCCAATGAAACGACACAAATCTGGAGCAGATCAAACACGGACCTCAAAATTTAGAGGTGGGATCAGGTGCCATGGAGGAGTGAGCATACCCTGTCGACCGGTCACACCCGCTGTGTGCTCTTTGTCATGATCGGGTAATAACGGAGAAATCCGTAGACAGTTCAGTGTAGAAATAATGGCTTAACAATTAGTATGAAAAACGTCAGTCAGCATTTGACTCATTGATAGGTTGTATTTGCTGACAAGGTCGTTGTATCGACCGTAAAACTTGCTAAAAGATGACTTCAAACGAAGTTTGACTTCAAAAAATCCCATTTCTGTTAAAAATATGTATTAAAAAGTAAAATACTTCAAAATATTTCTGTTAAAAAATAAATCAATTTATATGTTTAATGCCAGAACTATGGTTCATACCTCCGAAAAATTCCTTATTTTCTAAGGGCCAGTGAATTGGTTATTTAAATAACAATGCAGTCGTTTTTGGAGTAATAACTTAACAGATTCGAATTTAATCCATAAGTATTTTTTTTATTGCATTTCGATTTTAAAAATCTTCAAGGGGGAACCAAATTCAGTGCACATATAGTGGAAAACCTTCCATAAGTTCTTATAAAAAGTTCTTATTTTTATCCATTATTTAAATATTTAGACCTGAAATAATTTAAGTAATGACATTTGATTATGATTCTCACTTTTCTCCGACAACCCTTTGACAAAAATCCCCTACTCACACAACTAACTGAATAACCCCTACGCAGACGACCTATTGCTAAAAAAAAAAAAGCTATTGAATACGAGCCAACGTTCTTTCTTTGATGAACTGACAAAAAAAAGAGACTAATGTGCTGAACAAGAATTCTGGTCAACGATCTTATTTACATATATGTAGTTATAATATGAAATATCATAAATCAAGCTCTGACTCCAACGAGAAGTACTCCGAAGCATGTAAAGAATTGAGAAGCATTTCTTTTACGCAGGTATTGTTAAAATTACAATTGACACTTTCTTTTCATTCTCAAAAGATCTTTAATCATTCTCTTGGGAAAAGAATAAGTATTTGTTAAATTATCAGTTGAGATTGCAAATTTGCTTACAAATAATATTTTCACACGTGATTTTTTTTCCAAACAAAGATTTATTTCAAAATAGTGAGAATTAAAAATTACAATTTTTGGGATATTTCACTAAATTATGCAATTCACCAATAAAAAGTCATTTTTTTTTTTAGAATTAAGTTTCCATTTCCAGTGAAAAAAACGAGTTTTTTTAAAAAAAATTTTAACAGGAACATAATATTTATTGTTATTAAATAAGGGAAAGAAATGCTAACATGCGAACAACCTGAACGTTTTGAATTAACAAGAAAACAGCAGAAACAAAATCGGAGCATAATGAAGTTCTGATACTGTAGAGCAACGTTGTATATCATATATGATGTAAATTAAATTTCAACTGCCATTAATGCCATAGTGTAATTGCATATAACTTTGAATGTATTTTTTTACGCAAATGTCATACTCTTTACATTGGGAAACTGATAAACCAAATTTTTAATTACATCTGATGGATTGGTCCCTATATATATGTATCAGTATATCTCCAAGTCTCATTTTCTCAAATAGAGAGAGAAATACAGTAAAGACTCATTTGCTTACTTTGTTATCAATTGCAAAATTTATGGAATAAAAACATTACCCTGTAAATAAAAAAGCAACATAAATCAAAACATTGCCAATATTTATGAATAGTTAGTACCTTGCTCAAGTATTTATAGAACAAATAACATACATACCAGGGCCGAAAAAAGAAATAAGAAACAAATAGAATATTATTATCCTGCATGTTTTACGGGAAAAAAAAAACAACAATTGTGCCAAAAATGTTTATAAGATCATAAATTTCTGTAAGTAAATTAAACTTTAAATGAACTATGCTTGTTATTACAAATCGGTAATACGCACTGTTATTTTTCGAAAGTCAAACCAACGTTTTAAAGTATAACATATAAAAGTAGCGATGTGTCCGCTATAAATTTGATTGCAATCAACTTGCCGAGATTATAATAATGTGTTAATGACCTTTATTCGAACAAGATTTGAATAGTTGCAACGAATTTAAATTTTCTGCCATAATTAGTTTAAAGGTGCCTTGGCAAACAAATGTAAAAATATATCATTTTTGAGAGAATTAATTACAGTAAATAAAGAAGTAAAAATGTTACTCACTATTTGCAATTTCTAGAAAATATTTAGTGTTTCTTGGTTTCTTTTTAGTTGTCATTACACCGTGCTCGATATGAGATTTTTTTTAAAGAAAATTAGTTATGTTATATATTCAGTTTCTATTATCAATTCAATTTCCTCTACTAATTTAGATTAAAATTCAGACCTCAGAAAATAAATTATTTGATAGTATATCTACCTGAATTTTTGGTTATCGTTTTATAGAAATTTATTTTTTAAAAAGCATGGCAATTTTTTTTAAAACTTTGTTCTGTAAGAATGAGAACATGTTGCGACTCAGAACAAAAAAATTATTTTCTTTGCAAAGGTACATCATTTTGCAAAATATCAAACCAACAGCACAGTCATATTGATGTGTTAAAAGATTGACAAATGTAGGTATAAAAATTCTCAAGAAAGAGACTGATAAACATTTTTTGTATGACAACATATCTTAAATGTTTGACACATAATGTTTGAAGAATTGATTTGCTAATCAAAAGCTGTTTCATACATTTTATCCATAATAAGTATAAATCTGTAACGGATTGATCTCCAAAATGTTTGAAAAAGAGTCACCTACTGCTTAGTACCGGCAAGAAAAGTAATTAACGAAATCAAATTCAAAATGATGTAGACAATCATCATTAAGTTATCGAGGCGTTTAATGGTCATCTTGTTTCGCAGTGATTTCTTGGGTCTCTCTTTTGGTTCATTTAGATCATCTATTAGTACGCCAACTTCCAGATTATTCCTTTTGTCGACGTGGTATTTCAGCACGAATGTTTCCATAATGATAACAAGTCCACTGAGTACAAGCTGAAACGTGAGATAAATAGTAAAAAGAGGAGTGTCCTCCGAAACCGGCAAGGATTCACTCAGGAGTGTCAAGAATACTGCAAATGTCAGAAAAACAGCCACCGAGGTTCCCATCTTTTCTCCACATTCGATTGGTAGTACGAAAGAGCATAGGTTTACAATGGACAGCAGCAACACAGGCAGCAAATAAGAAACGATTACATTCGTTGGCCGCCGTTTGATAAAAATTTCAAATTGGAGCCCTTCAAAGATCATATCACGACTTTCTAGCGTAAAATACTTTGAAATCGATGTATCCAACACTTCCCATTCTTCACTCCTTGAATACAAGTCTAGTCCGAAATATGAAGAAGTCAGGTTGAAATATATTACATTCGATTTTCGGAATGCGCTTCCAATGTCAATAGAGCATTTCTGTACGTCGAATGGGTATTTCTTGGCGTTGATGTTACACTGGGTGGCACCATCGAGTGATTTGGAAAATATCACTTCTCCAGTGTGTAGGACTGTGACTGTGGAACCTTCCCGAAAACAACTTTCCATACCTATGTCATTAACGATACAAACAAATGCAGGATTCCAAACTTTACTGGAAGTTGTATGAATACTGTCTATTCCTTTATACATTTCAGGATTCCATTCCAAACGATCATCTTTCCACGACATGAAAAACCAAAATGTTGAAGAGAAGGTTTGATCTCTTGCCTTGACATCAAGAATCTTTTGCAAGTAGATGGACATTGAAACATCTAGTGGATTGGTAGCGTTGTCATAAGGTCCGGCATCTGGATCATATTGCTTGAAAAGTTTTTCAAATAAATCTGATCTGTTGCCCGCTTTGCATATTGTAATTAACATGAGAGTTATAACGAAGCGTTTCATCTCCATGACAAAAGTTGTCCGATCTATGGGGCGCATTCAAATCTAAAAGAAACCAATTCTGCATTTATATATTTGTCAAAATTTTCTCACCCTCACCTTCACATTCCCTTAATACTCTTTTTTTTCTTTACAATTTACTTTTTTTGATGATAAACTACTTAACTTATGAGAATCAGAAAATAACATATTAAATCTTTAACTTACTAAGTGACATGTACACTTACTTAGTGACATACCAAAAAGTTATAGCACTTGATATATGATTTTTCAAAGGGAATCATATCTCGGATAATAAATCGATAATTTTTGAAATCGCCTTATTTCCCTTAGAATTTTTTTTAAGAATTGCCAAAACAAAAGAAACAGAAATCAATTACAAAAAAAGAAAAAAGAAAGTGCTTTCTTTTATGTTTTTTTTTTGTTGCTTTAACTTTAATATGTTAAAAATCAACCTGTAATATGTTTTTGTATTAAATCATATGATATTATTATTTATCAAACATATTAATCAATGTATTACCTACCTACAAACGATAGTTGTCTGCAACTGTTGGATTTTGAGCCTCCTCAGGTAGATAATCCCTTCACAGTATTGTGTCAATATCTTAAAACAGCCTATTAAAAAATATACAAAAAACTTGTGTCAAAATGCTATACTAAAACAATATTTATCACTTTGTTTCTCAAAGGATACACCCGAGAGAGCAACATTGGATTTACTTCAGCTTTGGTCGGATTCTTTGTCTTATAATGACAGAGTATGGAAATTCAAAATTTAATGAATTATATCAAATTGACATGTCATATTGCAATCTCCAAATAAACCAATCTAGGAGTCCTCTTCTACTGAAAAATCACTTGCATAAGCGTATCCTGATTTTTTTTTTCTTAAGCGCTTTGATAATATCAATATACAGTCAATAACCAAAAAATATATGTATGACAAAGGCATTACCACCGAGAGGGTTCGATATAAAATAGGCTCTGAAGAATTTAATTACGGGAGAGGAGGCTGAATCAATATCCCAAATACCACAGGGATTTACCAGTTATCTTAAAATTATGCACTCATTTTATAAATTGAACTCCATCGTAATTAACCTGTTAATGAGGTGTTCGTAAACCATTGCAAATGCGTCGGTATTTTACACCTAATGGTAAACCACTAACGCTTGAAGAAAGACTTACATAACAAAAGAGAGAGAACCCCTGAAGCCTACTTCTGATCTTGGTTAATGTACGCATTCTTTATACCATAGAAAAAATGATACAGAGAGCAAAAACATCAATATTTTACATGACTCACTTAGTCCAAAATCACATTCTTAAGCAAAAAGTATTATCTATAATGTCTTTAAAGATTAAGAAATTTCTTGATAGTCATTGATGATGTGAATGAAGCACGTGTTGAATCAAACGTCGTTTTATATCTAATGTCATAACACGAAATCACGAAGAGTAAATGAAATATACAGCTGTCTGTTGAAGGATTTGAATGTTACATAATTTTTATGAGTCAGAAAAAATAATTTAAATGGGAAGGAAATTATATTCATTCTTACAACAATGCTTAACATATTATGATGCCATACAATGCATATCTTATTTCTTATATTCATATTCTTTAACCACTCCATAGATGATTCTTTTATCAATATAATAGTTATCTAAAGTCATCCAATTACCATTCCATCTTTCCAACAAAAGACTTTCTGGCTCACAAATATTCATTAGTGATTAAAAATGACGCCGGAAAAGGGAGGGGGAATTTTCGTTTTGTTGCAATTCACAGTAACGCAGAGTGAAGTTTACGTAAAATCTCTGCATGTGTTTGAACAGGAGGGAAGGGGACAACTAAGTCTAGATTATTCGTTTTTTAATGACACAATAGGTAGGTTTAGACAAAGGGGAGAGAGATACATTTAATGTCGATCCATGGTCCTGGTGTTTAGAGTCAGTCACGTCCAAAAAGAACTCTGCTCGCGTTCAGTAGCAAGCGGATTACGCTTTTGTACATGTCCATTTATAGTACTGGGTTTTGAAATCAACTTTTCTGGAAATTTTAAAGTCATATAAACAAGATTCGTTTCAGTCAGTAATTAAAAAACACCAGAGTATCTCATCAGAAAAAGTGCATTGAAGGAGGACATTGGAAAGCAATGAGGGAGGACATTGGAAGGCATTGAGGGAGGACATTGGAAAGCAATGAGGGAGGACATTGGAAGGCATTGAGGGAGGACATTGGAAGGCATTGAGGGAGGACATTGGAAAGCAATGAGGGAGGACATTGGAAAGCAATGAGGGAGGACATTGGAAGGCATTGAGGGAGGACATTGGAAAGCAATGAGGTCGTCGAACGTCATAAAGCTCATGGGTAGAGAGCCGTGTTGCAACCACTATTGAAATAATATTGAAGTGGTTCAGAGTACATTTCAAAACCAACACAGGTTGTAACCACTATTAAAATAACCTTCACTGTTGAAATAATTATATAAATAGTGGTTGAAAGTGCATTTCAAAACCGAATACAGGGTACAACCACTATTAAAATAACGTTCAACATTGAAACATTGATTTCAACAGAGGTTTTGAATGCATTTCAAAATCTAAACCAGGTTGCAACCACTATTGAAATAATGTTCACTTTTGACATAAAGAGTTCAATAGTGATTGAAATAATTATTTTAATAGTTGCTGACAATGATTTCAATACCAAAACCACATTGCAAGCCTTATTGAAATAACCCCACTATTGAAAAGTCTTCATTATCTTTTTTTTTATATAATTTTTTTTGAGTTTAAAATATGATATGCAATTTTATGTTTAGATTTCTGTCAAGAAATGCTATCAATACATGGATATCTGTGATTTAACTGATCTAATAATTTTAGGTAATTTTGTTATATAAGGTTCATCTTCGCTATCATGCAATTGGGCAAAGTAAAAGATTTTAAATACAGATAGTTGTAGAAATTAGAATATCTACATTAAAAGAAGAAAGAAGACATCTATGTGATATCTATGTGTACATACTTTCCGATGAAAATATGGTTATTTTTCATCAAAAGGATATAGAATAGAAGGAAATTCTTGCTTATATTCATGGACTTGCCTACACCTCAAATATTGATATATAGTAAATCCAACGTTTCTACTCGTCAATACATTAAAATCAATCATTCGAGAAAACCAAGTATAAGCATTATATCATTCACGGATGTTATTCAATAGGTTACACGTATAAAACCGCTATTGAAATAATATCCACTATTGAAAAAATATAGTTGTGGTCGTTATTTCAATAGTGTGTGCATTGCTCCAACCACTATTGAAAAAATGACCACTAGTGAAAAAATTATGTCGATAGTAGAAAATAGAGAGGTTAAGCAAACCAACGTGTACGCATACGTGTACTTGTAGCAGGAGATTCCCCCCGGAAATCTATGCATTACGTCATCAGTTTTGCTAATGACGAATTTCTACACGTATCCACTTACATGTAGATCACCGAGTACACTTAAGTCCAAACTTGTAGCCTATATTTCTTTAACCGCTGTTTATTTTTTAAAATGTGTGCGTTTTTCCTAAAACCTGAAGATTTAATGCATATATTTACTGTTATACAGAACTAAACATCTTTAATTGAAAAATATAATTTTATAGAGTATTAAATACACAACATCTAGACTTTCAAAACAGGCTTTGACGGATCAAAATTATAAGAGCTCTTTTCAATCTTTTTCCTATAAATTTATGCACATATTTATTTAAAAGGTGACATGCGTATTAAATTTAATGTGTTTCTAATTTTTTTTTATGTTAAGCACCTTTTCATTTAAAACACTTACAAGTACACGTACAGGTTATACTTTGCTAAACAAGAAAAATAATGTAAACGTGTAAGTATAATTCTAACTTGTTGTATACACGTACTTGAACATGTACACGTACAAGTGAGCTTGCTAAACCTCTCTATTATTTCAATAGCGGTAGTATTATTGCAACAACTATTGAAATAAGGATGACTTATGAAATAATTATTTCAATAGCGGACATTATTTAACAGCGGTTTAATATAAATAGCGCTATTGATATAAAACCCACTTTTGTAATAATGCTTATACTAACTTCCCTTGAAGTTCTGTTTTTTTTTTTCAATGTCTTAACGAGTAGACGTTGGATTTACTATCCATGTTTGTAGTGTTGGTAAGCCCATGGATATGAGCAAGAATTTAGCTCCATTCTATATTCTTTTTATCAAAAATAAACATATCTTCATCAGAAAGTTTTTACGCATATATATGTCTTTTTTCTCCCTTTTATGTAGATATTCGAATTTCTACCACTATCTGTATTTATGATCCTTTTCTTTTCAAAATTACTTAAAACTTGCATCGATTGATTGTCTGTTGGCTTTTGCCGAGTCGGCCAGATTCAGCTGAAGCTTGCTTATAACATTTGCATACTTTGTACGTCAGTTAATCAAGAGTGTAATGCTTGAATACAATTCCATATATATTCAACTTTAAACATATTCTCTGTGAATATAAACTGGGGAATAAACTATCATTCTTCCAATATAATACATATGAAGACACCATGCAATGCAATTTGAAGCTTTGATTTCTATAAATTTTTTTCCACAAATTTACAATGTTTATTTTTTACGCTAGTCATTAAGTAAGAGTATTTAATTACTTTAATACATTTACAATTATATTATGGTAAACTTAAATGTCTCAAAGAGTCCACCGATTATGGTCAAAATAAATTTTGACACCTTTGAATGATTCTGGCAATATTTACTACCTTGAAGGACTTCATTTTTGGACTGAGAAATCGGCAGGACTTCCAATTCAAATATTGAGGTGTTAGATGAAAGATAACCATGATAAAATATTTGTCAGTCACCCTATACTACATGTATATCAGATAACTGAAAAAAGAAAATGGGTAGAAAATGGGTAAGGAAAATTAACTGATCTAAAGAAACAAAAACATTTTTTATATCATTAAAACTCAATAACTTCTGATA